TTTGGTTTTAGTGAAGAATGTGCTTATTATACATTATTTAGAAAAATACACAAAATTTGCCAAATTCTGTTAAACTTTTTTGTGCTATCTTCAGGCAGTTACGACATGGTAATATTTATATTTAGAATAAGCCATAATATTGTAAGAACCGCAAAGTACACACTTGGAGCTCACCTGATAACTGTGAATTTAAGTAAAGATTGAATGAAAGACTCTTTTGAAACTGGCAGCTATTGTGAAATAAATTCAGGAAAAATCAAATCAACACGGACGCAATGTAGACATTCGGTTTTCAAAAATAGACAGTCTATACTATAGCATGTATATGTTTAGCTTGAATCTTCTCGAGTATTAAAATGTAAAGTTTGGACTTCAACAGACGTTAAGATATTTAAGCTTAGACATGTAGTTACATATGAATTTTATTATTAAACTGAATTAATTAATAGAGACAACACCTTTTTTCTGTATTTTGGCTAAAAAGAATACATTTTAATCAAGTAGCAATCAAATGACTTGTAAGTTTTGAACAAAAAGATATGCACAAAAGGTCTAAGTCAGAACTTAGTCATGATACCGTCGAGTGTTTGGCAATCATACCACATTTCCTTATTTTTATATTGTTTGCACTGTAGTCCAATTGCTGATGTGCATCAGACCGATCTGTATTTCCGATGAGCTCTGCATTTTCAGTATCGCAAATAGTCAGTATATATCCATGCTTGTTAATTTATTGTGTTAGTTTGCTGACATGCTGTCTTTTATTCAATATCTCCTTATTCATATCTATCAAATTGTTTTATTATATATCAAGACATAAGGAATAGAGAAAAACTGTCCAAAACTTCAGGTATTATTAGTTACACATTGTGCTAGTGACCTAATACGATATATACGGGGTCAGTAAATGCCATATGGAATTTACTGATCCCCGTATATATCGTATTAGGTCACTAGCACGCTGTGTAACGAATTTATGTTACCGACTATCTTAAAATGTTGAATTTAGATTATTGACCTATTAAAGTGATCAAGTCTTCAATTTTAAGAACCTACTTCCACTAGTCTATACAAAAACAAATACCAACTATAACAATTTGTTAGCTTTTGATGTGTTTTCTGCATTTATTTTCAATCGTTTATGATCAATTTCTTCATCTGTTGTCTAAGCGAAACGTTTAAGATTTTCCTTCAAAGCCATGTTGTTTTTATAAAGGGACGTAACACTGCAACTAACCGTGTATCAATAAAACAAACCCAAAGACCAAATATTAAATATACAAAGTCTCCACGTGTTCGCTTTTAACCAATGATATTTCTAAAAGTGTATAGGAGGTAAGATAAATTTAAAAAATCAAATACCATTTATACTGGCAACATAAATGAAAAATAAAATCAGTATTAACAAAAATGATTTTTTACAAATACACCTGTAAACATGTTTGGGATCACAATTCCAAATGTCCTTAAATTGTTGTGAAATTAAGAAAAAATTAGTATAAAATAAGGTGTGGCCCTCCCCTCTCTCCTTATTTATATGGAACGTTCTAGATTCTCTACTGATTAAACTCAGGGAACCAAAATAGGCATATGTGAATTATTTCTACCGTTAAAACAAATCAATATGACCACTTAAACAATTTTTATTTAATCATCGTAATGTATAAGATACATAAATTTATACCTTAGGATGGGATCGTGACCAGATTACAATAGGATGACTTGGGTTTTAAAAGAGTAATATTTAGAAAAAATCAAACAATGTTGAAAAGGTCTATATGCTGTGGATTTTCAGGTGAAGTGGACATTTACAGCATACTGTATACACAAGCAAGGGTCACATTAGTATAGAATTATGGTCACTTGGACTTCTCCAATCTCGTAGAAAGACCTATTCACGGGAGGATGTATGTTTGGCAGTTTTATACACAATCACGTCTGATTGGACTACAAACATTTATTGAATACATTATTCAGCTTTCAAACCTATAATGGTTTACTTTTATAAATTGTGACTTGGATGGAGAGTTGTCTCATTGGCACTCATACCACATCTTCTTATATCTATTCAAACAGTGCCTTGTGATTTTTTCTCTTTTTTTCAGTTATCCCTTACGACCATTCAAGTGTGCCCATAGTACCTACCAAATTGATTAACTATCAAATATGTTATCGTCCTAAATCTGATTCCAAGTCATACAAGTGTGAGGTTTAGCTAGCTATAATACCAAGTTTAAACCATTGTGGTGACGTCAGCCTATTCATTTACCGTGGATTCTTTTTCTAGAATCAACGCTTCCTACATCTGCCGCAGAAATGGACTCACCAAATTATATTCAATTGTTTCCTTTGTGTGTCTAATTTCATTAAGTTTGAATTGGCTAATTTACTGATTTCTGTTCACTAATGGAATTAATTTAAAAACTTACTTTTGTAACTTGTATATGCCTTCACTGGGAATCGAACCCTTCCTTGAAATCTGTTATGAATGACTGACATCAACACATCGACGAAACCTCTCGGCTACCAATGGGTTACAACTTAGATGTCTATTTTATATATATAAATGAACATCGGACACACAGGGGTTGTACCTTTATATATACACAATGGGCAGTCGTATAGTATAAGTTGGTAGCCGCGAGGTTAGCATGCTTAAAATCAACGAGTTTAAAGATAGGGATTTGTCGGTTTAGGTTCGAATCCCTGTATTATCTCTGTTGTCCCAATTCTGTTTTTTTTTCTAATTTTGCATGTTAAAGTGGATATTTTAGTAATAATAGCGTGTTTTACCGTTTATTTTTTGGATTATTATTGGCTATTTCACATGTTTGAAACAAAAATTATTACATTCTATTTGTCAATTTTTGATGTATAAATATAGTATGATTTTCATCTGTTTTACTACATAATTTTACAAATATTTGTTCGCAAATTCCTATGCTAGAAAATCGTGATGTGCCTAGAGTGCTAGAAATTTCGGTAACATACTTATTATATATACTTTATATATGCTCTTTGGACGGGTTGTTGTCTTTTTGACACATTCCCCATTTCCGTTCTCAATTTTATTAGAAATAAGTTCGAATATGTCTTATTTTGTAAAAACAGATAATATTCAGATGCCTGATAATATAAAGATCTTTAAAGGTAGAAGTGTTATATTTGTATTTTGTTAACCAATTAATTGTGATCTGAGAATTATCAATGCATCGTTGGACACGATAACATGGTTATTGAAACTCACTTACAATACCTTCTAATTAAGAAAAGGCTTTAATTTTGAAAAGAAATTAACACAATAGTTTAAGTTATAGATACAATGGATAAGCGTAGATTCATGAAAAACAAACCATTCGCCCTCCGAGCTCATGGTTTCTTTTTCAAGAATCCACGCTTATCCATTGTATCTATATAACTTAACCCATCATGTTCTTCGGAAGATGCCTGTACCAAGTCAGGGATATGAAAGTTGTTTTTCACTCGTCCCGTTGGTTGATAACGTTTGACACTGGACGTTAGAAAATAACTGTTAGTTACTTCTAGTAGTCTAGAGGAGATAGAATATGTATGCCATGTATTCACCAGCTATCGTGTATTTCGGTCATTTGAATGAACAGTACGTCAGTACATTGATTACTGTGTGTTCTTATTTTTGGCTGTACACCACTGTCCTAGGTTAGGGAACTTACGGTCTGGCGCCCGCACACATGTTTAGCCCAGCCACAACTGTATGTGCCTGTTCCAAGTCAGGATAAGTCCGAATGCCCAACCTAAACTAGAGGACACCGGATTTATTACAAATAAAAAAAACAAAAACATTATAGCATGTGTAATATACCAGCATGTGTAATATAACCATAAAAAATAAATTACTGTAGTGTAAGTTAATAAATTATCAAACATTCTCCTTCTTTTGGCGATCCCGGCGGCCAGGAAAACCCAACAAATATCGGAAACCTGTGTCCAAACCCTATGCTCGAAATACCGTCTCTGGAGTCATTTTTTGGACAGTATACTTTAAAATATGATATATGAAAATAAATCTTATAAAAGGGAAACATGAAATTAATAAACCCTGTATTATGTGCATCAGTGCAATCAACAAAACACGTATAGTTCTTACATGAGCAAATACACGTACAAACATCATAAACACCTAACAAAGAACGAGCTCTGGAATAAAATCAAAAAAATCAAAATGAAATATACCTTAATAAAGGAAGTGCCCCCCCCCCCCCTTTTTTCCCAGGTGTGGTGACCAGTAAAATAGACATACATGTATATTCGAGGTCACCTCTATATAAAACCGACTCCCTGTATATATGCCATATAAAAATTAAAATTTTTTTATCAATTTGTTTCCTTTATATGTATGTGCTGTACATACGTGATTTAAATTACTAAGGATATATACTCCATATGGAGGTGCTGCTACTTACAAAAGGCTAATACACAGGAGAATAAAAGCGAGCGCCATCTGTCGTCATAATGATCGTTAGAATAATACAACGATGACATTTAACGAATTGACATTTAACGAATTGACATGATTCAAGTTACAAAACATCAATATACGAATTTCAGCGTGTCTATGGCAAATATTTAAGTGACTTGGTAACAAATGAAGAATGGCAGAATAAAAAATAGTATACGAATGTTAGATTTAATGAATTACAAAGTCGCAAATAAAAAATTTCAAAGTTACAAATGTTGAATTTCAAAGTTGCAAGTTGACAATTTACGAATTAAGAATTTTAAAATTACACAGTTACAAGTTACAAATTGACAATTTACGAATTCAGAATTTTGAAATTGCACAGTTACATGTTACAAATTGACAATTTACGAATTAAGAATTTTGACCCCGTTGGCTTTCCATAGATAAATTAATTATATTATTATATGTGGAATCGATGTTTTTGCAATAGATAACACGTATATTTACTTCAAAACAGTTGTAAGCTCTATTTGATAAGTGATAGAAAATATCAACACAATTGTTTTTTAATTGATTTAATAATATACATTTTGTAGTTATACAGATCTAAGGTGAGTAGGACACATGTATGAGTTCTGTCTCTTTAAACAGTAGAGATGCAATGAAATAATATGTGTGTGCAATAATCAATTAAAGATATAATGTTTTGTTAATACATCAATTTTATTCTATAAATATGAATGATCATACTGCTATAATTACGCACATAACTGGACTAAGAATATGTATATGTCTTGAAGTACATCACAATTTTGATTTTGAAAAACAAAACAAAACAAAAAAACAATGCATTATACTGAAAAAAAAAATGCGTTTAAGACAAACATGTTATAGCATTTCATAATCCTTAAGTATAATATATATATATAGATTATAACATGGCATTTTTCATATCCGACCCTTTATCAGCTCTAGGTCATGATATCAGCCTGAGAGCCGACAGCAGAAGGCATACAGACAAGAACTATTTTTAAAACTTTGAAAAATCCATTTATTGTATTATTTGTTTTGCATTTTTTAATAATATATTTTCCTGTTTCCAAATATTGTTTTCTTTATTCCTTCTTTGTTATGTTTTTCACTTAGAACGTACCATTGAGGTGTATTTTCCAAAATTTGCAGAGTGACGTCGAAATGCCGTGCGATAACGTTACAGAAAGGCATGCGATAATAACCGGAAGCAGTTGATATAAACCGGAAACAGTTGATAACGACAGTCATATCACACGGATAAGACAATTCTTCAAATTTAATGAATAAAATATGTACAAATTACAGTTTTATCAAGGGATACAATTAGACCATTATTTTCTATAAGTATATATATATATATATCCAAACATCGCTAGATTAAAACAATCATTATTTTTTTAATCAATAAATTTGTTATTGAAGGGGATCCAAAACCCCCCTTTTTCACACTATTCACACTTGATGCAACAGCATACCTTACCAATTGAACAGGATTTAGAAGACATTCTCTTAGCTTATCAAGAACTTGAAATGACACTGCTACACCTGTTTTGCACTTAACGGCGAAATGCTCACAATTATTCTTCAGTATATCAAATGGCCCCCACTGATGTGGATCTGCAACTAGCATTTCTGCGTTCATTGCTGCGATTTCTGGTGGAAGGCAATCGTTGTTAGGGTAGTTGATCCTTACAAGTCTTCTCTTGCCGTAACTTGTAAACTGCAATAAATCAACATTTCTAACTGTTGCGTCGAGTTTATTATTACCTCCAAAATCAGCTACACCTTTCTCGTGTCCCAGAAATATTCCATGGTGGTAAAAATTAATACCAACTTCTGCACCTTCTACAGCTAGTTGATCTCCTCTTTTAAGTGTTCTGTAAAAGATATCATTCCTTTTATGGCTAATAAAAACCTCACTAAATCATCCGAAGGATGTAGTGCATGAGCCGTTAGGTTTCGAGAGTTTAATATGGGAATTTGTCAACCAATTAGCCATGTACCTTTAAATTTCTATTCTAAGAACTAATTCTAGATATTAACTTGATGCACGGATGAACAGCTAAGGTGGTATATAAGCAGGAAGGTGTACTGACCGCATGATTTATTAAGTTCCATGTGGACCCATGGAATAAAATGTTTGCCAAACATCAAAGGAATATCAGACACTATAATTGCACTTTTGTCAGGAATAAATCAACACATTTAAACATTAATATGAAATTTTGTCATGAACAGTTTCTTTTGCAATAAAATACAAACGACATTTCCAAGATGATTGATCCTAGTTAAAAAAAAATAAACTGTATTCTTCCGTATTTATTTTTACATATTTCCACATTTAAAAGTTTGCCATATGATCGTAGCAAGGGCATGATATACTTTATTTTCAATCTTACATTCATAATTTGGTGCAATTTCCTTATAGCATTTATATGTGGTCAACTGCGGGTCTTCCACTGACGAAAATTCAGGCTTTCAAACTTTGAAGGGAAAATAAATGAAATCGTTGCAATATTGTATCTCAATGATGAAGAAAAAAAGAACTTTTAACATCATAATAATTTTAACATCATAATAATTTTAAACACAGTGATTTACACATTGGGGAAACCTTACAATTGTTAACCATGACATTGAATTTTATGTGCCTGTGTTTGTTTTAATTCGTCTTCTTCCATGCTGTTTCTGTCCAATCCTAAATACCGTCACAAAATAAAGTTAACAATCGTCATACCTACGAAGACTTGATTTTTTTATGAAATCAACATAACTTTTTTAGAAATTAGCATTTCAACATTTTGATCGTAAAATAAAAGAATATAAGTATGTTTTGGGGATTCATATACATATTTAAGCGGAAGTGCTAACAATAATGATCATTCACAAGACAGAAAGTGAATGTAGATTAAAATCACATATTGGTTGAAAGTGTGTAAAATCCTTAGTTTTAACTTGAAAAGTAACAACAGCAGGAAGATAGGGTTAGCTTATTTTCTGTAACATCCCATTTTGATCACTGATGTCAGCTGTAAATTTGTTTATGATAACTTTATCCTCAAGTCGGTTTCGTTTTGAATACACACTTCTTATTGTATTTATATATTTTTTATTTCATTTTAACGGTATGGTTGTATCATTTTCACTGAAATAAATTGGAACGGTTGTTTTTATAGCCGAACTTCTCGTGTTTACCTACCTATAATTATAAGGAAACCTGTATATGCTATCAGCACTTCAAAAAATATTTTTTTGTTATCATACCTCTAAACTTACTTAAAATCCATGGCAAAGAAGAAAATACAACTCAACAGGTTTTGCATGCATTTTGGAAGACATACATGTAGCCGAAATAGAAAGAGTAAAAGCTTGTTTAATTGTCGTTAGAAAAGTGAGTTTGAATGCCAGGAAGATGTAAAGGAGGACTTCAAAATCAAACTGACTGGAAAGGTTAGATCGAGTCGGGAAAAAAAATTAAGATAATAAATCTTTTGCACAAGTAGTCCAAGAAAAACGATCACATATATCGCAGCAAGGAAGGAAAGTACAGAAACACAAAATTTCAAATACTACTGCATCTGGATACAGAGTTATTAATTTGAAATTTTTACAAGAGCATTTCACTGAAATATCTTACCACGCAATATTTTGTGCAGCAGCATGCCTCTTATGGTGGAAGTGCAATTCATTTGGAATCACAACTACCAAGTCATGGCTTATCCTGAGTTCTTTCAGCACGTTGTTTTTAAAATAAAACAATTTGTATTGGAGGCAAGTCCTAAATTAGAAACAGAGGGAGCATTATGATATAAATGTGCGAGCTACATGGGGTTCCCTGACAAGTGGCAATGGACTGGCATAAATTAATGATTTAATGTTTACAATGGATATGCCATCTTAGACCCAAAAACATTTTCAATCATTGAAACTGAGATCAACCGTTGGTGGGGAGAACATGCTAGAAGATCTGAAATGTACCATTAAGGAAGACAAACGGACAGCAATTGATAAGGTATAGATTCAATGAAGGTCAGTTTATATCATATCCTTTTCAAAAACAAAGCATCACATTGTGCATGAGCAAAACATATTTTATTGTACCATACCAGTTTGCATCCTAATAAATTTTGACTGGCAATGGGTTAAAAAAAAAAACATTGAAGGTCAAGAAATTTACAATTAAAATCTTATTCCGCGAAGAAAATAACAAATAATTGTATTTTGTTCATTGTATAATATATATTGTTATGAGATTGTATTTATGGCACCCTCAACGGAGTTGGGGTGACATCTTCTACGTTTCTTTATTTATGGCACCTCAACGGAGTTGGGGTGACATATTGTTATTGTTCCGTTCTTTTTTATGGCACCCTCAACGGAGTTGGGGTGACATATTGTTATTCTACGTTTCTTTTTTTTCTTTTTATTATTATTATTATTTTTATTCTTTTACACTTTTTGTCCGAGCTATTTCTCGGAATTGAATGGACCAAAGTTGATGAAACTATATTATAATGTGGACCACTATGTGAAGTTGTGCAAGAGACATTAGAATGGTTCAAAATGGCCGCCGTTACCATGGAAACATGGAAAAATCAAAGTGTTCCAAACTGGCAGAAACTCCACAGGAATGGTAACTGGCATGTGCTGATTTGCAGTTCGACTTCGGAATTTTCAAAATGGCTGCCGTTACCATGGAAACAGTTAAAATATCAAAAATTCTAACTCTTTCGTTATAAGACCCAACTGAATGAAACTTTATGAAAATGTTACCCAGTATGCTAAGATGTCAAGATAATATTTGGATAGTCCAAAATAGCCGCCGTTGTCATGGAAACTGGGGGCAAGTTTTACATTGACCCTTTGTGAAAATGCATAAAATCAGCATTTTCTTAAAGAGTATTTCACCAAAGTCAATGAAACTGTATTGCTATATAACATGACATGTGGCAATGAGATGTCTGCTTCTAGAATTTTGGAATTATCCGCTGTAACCATGGAAACAGCAAAAATTTCCAAAATTTCCAAATAAATCAAAATGCTCCAAACTTGATAAAACTTCACAAAATGTCAACTGAAATGTGCAGAGTTGCTATTTGTCTTTGGAATTTTCAAAATGGCCGCCGTCGCCATGGAAAAAGTACCAAAAAAACATCGGCTGACTGCGGTATGGGCTTCGCTCATTGTTGAAGGCCGTATAGTGACCTATAGTTGTTAATTTCTGTGTCATTTTGTCTCTTGTGGATAGTTGTCTCATTGGCAATCATACCACATCTTCTTTTTTATTTATAAAACAGCTCGTAAATTTGAGGCAAAATTCTGTAATCAAGAGTATGTGCATACGATCAAATACAAATCTGTACTGCAAAACATCTTCTAGAATATGCCAAAAGAGAAAAAAATATATAATTTAACGTGCTTCTATTCTATACAAAAATCGTGCTTTCATACCACATCTTCCTATATCTATTTGAAGACAAAATCGCCACCGAGAGAGAGAGAAACACTAAGAGTACATATTAGTGACATTTCTGTACTTGCATTAAAGTACACATCCGTGAATCACACACCTGCTAAAATATACACATTAGCTGAAATCAATCGATGAACGTGTAATTTAATTTCTACAAGATAAGATACATCTATCGTGTGATACGCGAGCTATTAAAGAACAAAAATGAACAGTTCGTATGCCGCTCCGTCAATATATACACATGTTGTCTGTCTAATGTCCCCTCTAAAAAGAATATAAATGTGCTTGTCACTGAACAACACAAAACGTATAGACAATGAATAAACCAATGTAAAATGTGCCATTTTAGGCTATACAAAGTATTTATCAATCAATTAAATCATGATTAAAGTGATCAGATCATGATAAGAAATCAATCAATCAAGTTTTGATATCAAACAAGTAATTAATCAAGTGCAAAATTCGAAAAAAACGTCCCCTCGCCTTTTTACAAACTGTCAATCAGTCGATCAATCAATCAATCAAACGATCAATCAATCAATTGATTGATCAATCATGATCACAAACCATCGATCAATCAATCCACATATCTTTTCCATTGAGTTTATGAAAGAAAATACCTTTAATTCTCTTTTGATCAATCGACTTTTGCGTATTATTATGGCACCCTCAACGGAGTTGGAGTGACATACTGTTATTCTACGTTTCTTTTTATGGCACCCTTAACGGAGTTGGGGTGACACATTGTTATTCTACGTTTCTTTTTATGGCACCCTCAACGGAGTTGGGGTGACATATTGTTATTCTACGTTTCTTTTTTTTTCTTATTTTTCTTATTATTATTTTTGTTCTTCCACTATTTTTGTCCGGGACAGTTCTCATAATTTGATGGACCAAAGTTGATAGAACTATGGTATAATGTAGACCACCATGCAAAGTTGTCCCTCTGACTTTGGAATGTGCAAGATGGCCACGGTTACCATGGAAACTGCTAAAATGCGAAAAAATTTCAAAATTCTAAATCCTTCATTATAAGACCTACTTGGATGAAACTTTATGGAAATGTTACTTGGTAAGCCTAGATGTGCAGACAGTATTTAGAAATTCCAAAATGGCTGCCATTGTCATGGAAACAGGGCGAAAGTTTAACATTGACCCTATGGGAAAATACATTAAAGCTGCATTTTCTTTAAGAATATAACATAGAGATCAATGAAACTGTATGGATATGTAACATGCCATGTGCCAATATGTCGTCTGCTTTTGGAATTTCGGAAATGGTCATCGTTACCATGGAAACATAAAAAATTTCAAAAATTTCAAAATGCTCCAAATTTTCTCCAAATTTACCGTAATGGTAACTAGCATATGTAGATGCGATGTTCGACTTTGGAATATTCAAAA